AAGACTAATGGCCAATCCAGGGCTTTATATTTGCTAAATTTGTATAGACTCTCAAGTTTCCTGAAAACAAATTCTGTGTTCTCTGGTTTAATTAGTACTAAATTTAAAATACTGAAGTTTCTATGTTTCACGTCTTTATTTTATTTGAATATTTTTACCTATGGTATAAAATGGCAGACATCTTAACTTATAAAATAAAATAGGGGCTCATTTGATTTTAATTACCATCATTATTTGTGACATAAATATCTAAAGCCAGTTGTCTGAATACAACTTGGACACTAAAACTTAAAAATAAAAAAATCTTCCATTTCCCCAAAGATTTAAATGTCTACTTTTACTACTGTTAAAGAAAATGTATTCTAATTTTTATTAAAAATAGCAAGACAAGTTTTATACCACACTATCACACTAGGAGAGAAACTATTTCAGTAGGGTAAAAATAATAAACTCAACTCCAAATGTGATATGTAAATTTTGGGTGCCTCAAAGGAAGTAGCACTTGAATATAAATTTTCTCAGAAGGCAATTTACTTCTATAGAAGGGTGTGTCTCACAGATGGAGCAATGGTGAGCACACACCTGGACAAGGGAGGGGAAGGGGTTCTTATTCCTGACGTAGGTAGCTCCTACTGCTGTGTTGTTCTCCTACTGGCTAGGGTTGGACAGCACAGTCTAAACTAATTCCGACTGGCTATTTTAAAGAGAGCAGGGGTATGAGGCAGAGAGGTGAGGTGGGTAGTTTGGTGGGAAGGACAGTTACAGAGCAGGTCAGAGCAGATGACCAGGGGTGACTCAGGTAAAGCAGGTGACCAGGGGAAAAGATATGAACTACTGATTAGAACTAGCAGGAAAGTTGTTTACTGAAACAAAAGGCAAAGGGGCACAGAGAGCCAGGAAGTTAAACTTTAAGAGTTAAACCAGGAAGTTTAAACTTTAAAGAATAAGAAAGCTGAACATACTGACAGTTTGAAGAGAAACTTGGAGTTCACTATATCTAACACAAGTATAAGAAGGATCAATGCAGATTTATAGCTAGTGGGCAGGGTGAGGAAGAAGAAGAACCTAATTAGATATCAAGGATGATATCTAATTCTTAATAAACTAGAATAGCAATATTCCTTGCTAAAATTAGTCTCAGCTGGCCAAGAATGAAGTTGAATAAGGAAGGGGACTCAGAAGGACCTTACTAAAGTTTGGTCAAGAAGAGAGGCTTTGCCAGCATCAACAATTTCCACACATATGTGCCCATATCTAGGCCTATTTTTTTGCATTGATCAATTTTTTTCCTTTGCTATGGTAATTCCCCACTATCTTAATTACCATAATAATATTTATCAAGGAAGATCCTTTTTTCTTCTTAGATTATCTATTTTTGCTTCTTATTAATATAAATTAACTTTAATATCAGTTTGTCTAATTCTACAGAAATACCGTTGGAAAGTTTATTAGAATCCTATTGGTTTCAGAGATTAGTTTGGGAAGAATTGGATTTTTAAGGATATTGAATCTATCCATGAAAATAGTAAATCTATCTCCTTCTTTAGTTATTCTTTTTTAATTTTAGGACATTTTATAACACTTATACATTTATTCCTTCATGTCTTAGAGTGTTATTTTATAGAGTTTATTAATTACAAATGGAAAAAGACCATGTATGTATTTAAGACCATGTAAATATTCTAATTCTCATCACACTTTTACCCACATGTTTTAGAACTTATTGGTGATTCATGCTTTGCTAAATTAATTATATAATTGTTATCAAAAGATGAGTTTTTAATTTCATTATTCCTTCTACATTTATTAACTGAGTGAAAGGAATAGATTCCCCTTACATCTAAGTTATTTCTTTACATATGTATTTGTTCATTTATATCACAACCATCTAATGGGATTTTATTGTATTTAATAAATAGCAACCTATTATCATTATTTTATGCTCAAAGTTTTCCTCATTTGGCCAGCAGGAGGGCCTCTGATGAGACTTCTGTGTGGTACTGACATTGCCCCACTATTCTTTAAGCATTTTCTTATTTTTTGGTACAAGGTATCTGAGATTCATCTGAAAGTTTTCAATCCAGTCTAAAGTATGCAATTTTTGGAAAGATTCCAGGCTTCTTGTATTATAGAATGGTATTTAGGAAACTAAGAACTAGGTGCTAGGTGTGCGCATTACTACTGGAGTGTCCTCATGGCTGGTTACCCTCTAACAGACTGAATCACGAAACATACCCACACACAAACCCATCTATTTTTTTATGCTTATGAACTGCTATATACTGAATTGTGTCACCAAAATTCATATGTTGAAGCCCTAACCCCCGCCTCGATGGTATTGAAAGACTGGGTCTTTGGAGAGTAATTATTAGGTTTAGATGAGGTCATGAGGGTAGGAAACCCATGATACAATTAGTGCTTTTATAAGAACAGAGGTCTCTCTCTCTCCTCCCCTCCACACTGTATATGAAGACACAGTGAGAAGTTGGCTATCTATAAGCCAGGAAGGGAGCCCTCACCAGCAACTTGCCATGCTAGGACCCTTGTCTCAGACTTCCAGTTTCCAGAATTGTGAGAAACAGGCTTTGTTGTTTAAATCACCTAATCTATGTTATTTTTGTTATGGCAGCCTGAACTAAGACATGAATGAATCATCCATATTAAAAGTCTAAATTTTTACTGATCCCTCCATTTCTAATATAATACCATAGTATTCACTTTAGTTTTCCACCTTTCCATATTGGTAACTCCCTCCTTTCCTCTCCTTTGGCACACTAATGGCTTGAATATTGGACTTTTTGGTATTTTCCCATAGGTTCCTGAGTCTCTGTTAATTTTTCTGTTTTATCTCCCTGTTGTTTTACTGGATCTCTTTAATATCTATTTTTTTTTTTTTTTTTGGCTATCATTTTGCCATTAAGCAACTATGCAGAATTTTTTAATTCACTGTATTACAATTTTCAGTTCTTATATTTGTGGTTTTTTTATAGCTATAATTTCTCTCTTCTTTTTAACAATATTCAAAAACTACCTTAATAAAAACTGGGAGCATCCAAAGTGAAAGATAAGTTTCACAGTCCTTTTGAAAAAAAGTATTTTGCATTACTTGAAAACTTAAGTATTATTTTATAGGAGAGATTTAAGTCAATGTCCTAATTTACTATGACTTTATATATCTAATAGATGTCAATATTGATCACACTTATATATGCAGAGGAAAAATTTTCAAATGTTAATTTCAACGTTATCTTCAGAGTAACAGTTTATCAAGTTAGGGCAGGTTAAATTGCTATAACAAAGAAATCCCAAGATACGTAATGGTTCAATAACAATAGAATGAGATTTCTCATCTGTGTAATTTCCTGGCCAATGGGATGCAGGTGTTTGTTCTCCAGGAGGTGGCTTCGAAATGTAGGCTCTTCCATATTGTGGCTCTAAATTCAGGTCTCATTGTCTTCAACCATATGGCAAAAGTGGAAAAAGGGGATGCAGGGTATATATTTATTTCTGTAAAGTCACTTCCACTCTTAAGTCATCAGCTAAATTCAGTCTCGTAGTCACATCTAACTGTAAGGAGGGCTGGGAAATAGTCTGTGCCATCAAGGAGGGGAAAATGAACTATGAATTATTTCCATTAATACTATTTCTTTGTTGGAAAGTTTTATTTTTCCATTCTTTCTAACAATGATCATCCTTACAACTTGGAACTTGGTTATGGTAGCTTCTTTATTTGTTTTTATTACTTAGCCAGCCCACTTTATCAAATAGGGTAGCTTCTTTAAAGTCTTTGTTTCATAAATTTAGCCGTTGTGTCATCTCAGGTTTTGCATCTCCTGAATATTAGATTTTGCTTATTCATAGCATAATGAGTTATTTGGGATGTCCTAGATATTTTGAATAATATGCTTTAAGACCTCGGGTCCTTTAAAAGCTCTTCTGGAGAATACTGATTTGGGTTTGTTTTAGCAAATTGTCAATCTGGAGGAGACAGCATCCTGAGCCCTGACCTATCAGTATTGGTGGTGGTAAGTAGGGTATATTGGTAAACTGGTGTCAAAGGACTTACTAGCTTAGAGAAACCAGGACAGCTCCACCCATAAGTGATTCTCTATAAGACCTGCACTTTTATCTCTCTGTGCTGATTAGCTCAATCTAGAAAGAAAGCAGACTAATCCAGCCTGAGTCAGGGCCCCTCCACCTAGGCACATGTATTAGGAATTGGGATGTCATCTCCATAGCCTTCCCCATGGATGTAAAAGTGGATGCTCTGAGAAGGGCCAGCCACCTTGACGTATATGCTCACAAAATCTCTTCCACTTGCTGTGTTGCTTTCTTTGTCTTGCCTCCCTTTCCTTTCTTCCCATTGCCTGCCATGCCACTACATTTGCATCCATCTTTTCTGACTGAATCTTCTACAATGTCTTATAAACTCAGGACAGTTATCATCAGGCTTTACTCGTCTTTGCAGTGATTTCTGTCAATTTCATCTGTGTAGAAAATCTACCCATAAACAATGACTTTGAAATGATAGGCTGCAACTCCTGCATCAAACGTTTTCCAAATTAACCCTTTAATGGTAAGTTTTTATATAAAGTAAAGCACCCATTTGCCGTATACAGTCGGTACGTTTTTTATTTGTTTTTTGAGACAGGGTCTCACCATGCCGCCCAGGCTGGAGTGCAGTGGCAATTCACCTGCGCATTCATAACTCACTGCAGCCTCGAATTCCCAGGCTCCAGCGATCCTCGGTTCGGCAAGTTTTGATAAACGCAGACACCGACTTCGATTTAAATAAGAACTGTTTCCATCATCCAGAAGGAAGGCTGGTGTCGCCTGAGTGGCAGCGGCAGGGAGAAGCATGAGGAACCTGCTTGATGAGGGCTCCGCAGGTCCGGGGCTGGGCCTCACCCTTGACCTTACCCTTGCCCCTTGGCACATCTTCTTTGCGCCCTTTGCTGGCGCGCTCTTTCTACGTCACCTGTCCAAGGGTGCGTCACGAGCATGTGACAGACATGCGTGCTGGCCTGGGAGGAGGAGAGGGTAGCCGGAATACCTCTGCGAGTTTCCTTCAGCACTCCAGGAGCCGCGGAACGCTCCAACTGCTCTTCATGGATGACTTCACCAACAAACTGGGCTCCTACCGCACCTTCTCCCAGCTCTCTGTGTTCCGCAATCTCACCCGCATCAACTCGCTGCCCTGAGCAGAGCCTGTCCTCCGCCCATTCACCAACTGTTAAACGTTATAGGTTTGGCTTCACCCCTGAGAGCAGTGTCCCATGCAGCAAGCTCAGTGCTTCTCTCCGGGGAGTCTTTCTTTGGTGTCCGGGCGCCTCTCTGTTGGCAACAAGATGATTTGCCACACAGAAACAGTCAAAATTGTCTGGGTGCGCTGGCTCACACCTGTAATCGCAGCACTTTGGGAGGCTGAGGCTGCCGGATCACGAAGTCAGGAATCTGAGATTACCCTGACCAACCTGGTGAAACCCGGTCTCTACTGAAAATACAAAAATTAGCCCGGCGTGGTGACGCATGCCTGTAGTCCCAGCTACGTTGCGGGAGGTTGAGACAGGAGAATTGCTTGAACCCGGGAGGCAAAAGTTAGAATGAGCTGAGAACTTGCCCTTGCCCTGCAGCAAGACTCTGTCTCCAAAAAAAAAAAAAAAGAGTAAAGATTTCTCCTCCAGGGCACTAATGGACTTGACTGTCTTTGCCTGGTGAGCTGTCATCCAAAATCCCCACGCCTGCATCTTTGACCATTCAAAAATGAGCTGAGAGCTCTAGGAGGGTGCCAGGAAGACCTAGCAAAAGAGGAGGACCGTAAGAGAAGCGGCCCCATATACAGTGGGAGTGCACCATCATCATCTAGGCCTCTGGACACCACTGGAGTGCTCACTTTTTAAAAAAATTCTTTCTTTTTTTTTTTTTAAATTAGAAATGGGGTTTCTCCATGTTGGTCAGGCTGGTCTCGAACTCCCGACCTCAAATGATCTGCCTGCCTCGGCCTCCCAAAGTGCTCGGATTACAGACATGAGCCACTGTGCCCAGCCATTGGAGTTCTCACTTTCTTCAGTGTAAGTCTGAGCCTCTGATGGGAAATCTCAATTCCAAATTCCCAGAAGACAGCATTGGTAAGAAAGGAGTGCTGGATGAAGACTGTAGACCCAGGAGGTCCTTCACCAAAGGTGGCACCATTACCAGCACATACAGCCCTGCTGGAGGTGTCACGTGCATTTGCAGAGTGATCCAGGTGCTGCAGGGCTCTTGGCCCATGGAATCATGCTCCCTGATGTCAAGAGATAGGCACAGGAAGTGCCAGATGCAGGCCATGGGTCCAGCTCCCCAGCCTTGCTGATGCAGGGAAGAAGATGCAGGGAAAAAAGCTTCCAAAGACTTGGTCAAGGTAAAAACCCTCAGAGGCGATTATGATCACCTCTATGCACACAAACTAGAAAACCTGTAAGAAATGGATAACTTCCTGAAATCATAAAGCCTCCCATGTTTGAACCAGGAAGAAATTGAAACCCTAAACAAAGACTCCTTCAAGGAAGAATTCTCCGCCCACATCTTGCAATTGAAGGCCTTGTAAATGGAAAATGTCAAGGTTGTTGATGCTGCCTGGGCTGCCACTGTCACTACCACTGCTCCTGTACCGTAAGTGTTCTTGTATAGTTGTTGCTGGGACCTGAGCTTAGAGAAGAAAGCTGAGTGCCAATGAAAACTTATCCTCTTGGAGGATAAAACTAAGCCCACCTTGAACTACAGTGCCACTCAGACCACCTGTGCTTTCTCTCTGCCTTCAGAGGAGACTGCAGACTCCCTGCCCTCAGCCACTTTCATTTGCAGATTCCAGCTGCAGGCACAATCTCAATTACTGACTTGCCTCACCTGTCTGCCAGGCCCCAATCCTGTCTGCCTCTGTACCTACCCCACACTAGATATAGATTGTGAAATAAAACACACAATTCCTAACTTTCCTTCTTTTGTTTTCCCTGTGGATCTCTTTAAGTTCAAGCCCATATTTGGGAACTTCACTTAGGAAGAAACATGGAAGCCCTTTGCATTCTATTTCTCCAGTTACAGCTGCTGAGTCTTCTGATTTTGACTTCCCTGCACCTTCTAGCACCTCAACCCTTCCTTCGAGTCTTCAACAGCAGGGAGTCACTTACATCTATGTGTGTGGATTCTCCTCCTTACTCATGCAGACCCCTCCACCAGACTTCTGCCAGTGTCCCCTGCTTCACCAGCGATTCAATCTCTGCTTTCCCAGTCACTTCTGCCCCTGCAGCCAGCACATCTGCAGACTTAACTCACCAGCCAGCTTTGGATATTGGTGTGGCTGGCATGAACACTATTCCCCCTCCCAAGCTGCTTCCTCAGGTCTCCCTCAGGCTCTGGGATAAACTTGAGCTCCCTCCCATTTGCCAGGTCGTTTGTAATGTGGAGCAGATATCCCCAGCCTACAGGCATTCATGGTCAACAGCATCCCCCCTCACCCCACTTTCAGCTTTTACTTTGGCACAGGAGTCACCCTTCAGCCCATATTTGGGCTCCCTGATGGGGGCTAGTCAGGAGCCACTCTCCTCAGTAACCCTATCTGTACTGGCCTACCTAGCACAGCTTTCCAGAAGCCTCCACTCCAGTAGTCAGCACCTCTGTAGACTTTACATCCAAGCCTGCCTTTGATGCTGATGGAATTGATATACTTACCGTGCCCTCTCGCCAAATTTTCCTCTTCCCATCGTATCTTCCATGGTCTTCTTTCCATTTTCCATGGTGCTTCCTTGTTCTGAGAACATGCCGCCCTGTATCAGCATTACTTTAGCCTTAGCACCCACCAGCTGCCTACACAGTCAGTCTGGCCCAGCTGCAAGTTTCAGCTTTGCCTTTGCTCCAGGAGCTACCTCTCGGCCCACATTTGGGTGCCCTAGTGAGTTTCAGCCTGAAGCCACTAGCTGTGACATGTCTTTCTCAACGAAAACTTCAGATTTAACCTCCACTGGTCATACAACTCACGGTTTTCCCTCCCAATATTTCACCGTTGGCATCCCTGTCGTTATCCCGATCCCAGGTATTTTTCCCATTGGCTTAGTCATGACTTCTAGTTCTAGTGCCCCGATCAGGATGCCTACCACATAGCAGTTGCCTGTAGCCAACACCACTGCAGACCCATTAACTTTTATAGGATCCATATTCCCTATGGATAGTGGCAGCTTTGGGGTAAGTGTGGCTGCCTTATGCCCCAGCTCTGTGTCTGGAGCACTCAACTTGATTGAGGACTGAGAGAGACACCCAGCACTTGGCAAGGCTTAACTTGAGCATCAGGGTTTATCCCCTGTTGCAGTTGGGAAGGCCAACTCTATGGAAAGAAAATCTGTCCTGGGGGACTGTTTTCTTCCTGCTTATGGTCGGAAGCCCTATCATCCAAAGCATATCTGTAACTATTGGAGAAGACAATAACACTAAGAAAAAACAGGTGCCAGAGGAGACAGTGCTGTTTCTCCTTGTTGCAGATCACGTGGGACACTTGTGATCAGAGCACGTCTACAACTGGAAGGGCCAGCACCGTACTGGTATTTGGCAATACTTATCTCCCCATTTCTTTGCTGGAATACCTGGGGATTCCCTGGCTAATGCGTATTTACTGCAGTCAGAGGGCTTGGTGGCATACCTGTGCTTGGAGCTGATATTATTCCTGCCTGTAGTCAAGCACCCTGGGCCCACCTGTCCAGAGCACAGGTGACACAATAAGGGAAAGCACTATAGCTGTGCTTGGAGATACATACTTCTGGCCCCACCTTCCTACAGAGCACCTGATGCCCACTTGTTCAGAGCACTCATGCAGTGGGAAGCAGCAGTGTATCTATGATTGGAGGCCCCTGTGTTCCTGCCATTTGTCAGCACACAGGGGCCCACCTGGCTAGAACATATCTATTGCAGTTGGAGGGGCTGGCACTGTACATGTGCTTGAAGACACCACTATTTCTGTGTACAGTCAGAGCACCTAGGGCTCACCTATCCAGAGCACAGGTAGTGAATAGGAACAGTCAGCAGCACACCTGTGCGGGGAGATACTACTGTTCCCGCCAACATTCAGAGCACGTGGGGAGCTTATGGCCGGAGCACATTTGTTGCAGTTGTAGGAGAAAATGCCCTACAGTTTTAGGGAAATGCTTCTAGTCTCACCTAACTCAGACCATCATGACCTCACCCATTCAAGGTATCCCCTTGGCTTTGGAGGAGTCAGCATCAGTGAGAAAAATACCTGTGTGGGGAGGCTCTTTTGCTGCTAGCTTTGTTCAGAGAAACACAGCAAGCATCAACCTTGCTTTTAGGTTACTCTTTTCACCTACCCAGGGCTTAAGTGGAGACAATTCCAGCACAAGACCCAGGATCTCAGCAATTAAAGGAAAACTTCTACAAAGAGCAGGTCACCACAGTTCCCCATAAATGGACCTTACTCTGCTGGAGAGAGGCTCAATCTCTTCTACTTATGTTAAAGAAACTTCACTTGCTCTGTGTCTTCTTCCTTCAAGCTGAAGGCCCACACCTGTGTATGTGTGTGTGTATATGTGTGTGTGTGCATGTATGTGTATGTGTGCATATGTGCATGTATATGTATGTGTGTATTAGAGATGTAAGACAGCTCTGTGTGTGTATGTGTGTGCATGTGCATGTATGTACATGTGTGTGTGTGTATGTGTGTGTGTATTAGAGATGTGATACAGCACTGTGTGTGTGTGTGTGTGTGTGTGTGTGTGTGTGTGTGTGTGTTAGAGATGTGAGACAGCTGAGGCTGGTCGAATGTTAACATACGGAACTTAAGGAGTACAACCGTGGAGAGTAGAAGGGTGATCTACACACATTGTCAATGGTGCCATCTCTGGCTTTCACTGTTGGTCTGGCAGACCTAGCTCTGGCACAGTTTTTCTTTGGTCTTAGAACTGGCAGGATGGCCACAGCTCCCTATAGCTATCGCTTTTCCACTTGCATCAATGAGCTCTTATCTCTCTTTTCATCATTAAAAATCATAAAGCTTTGTTCCTGTTAATTTGTCCTCTGCTCACCAGTCTTTTACTCTGATTCAACTATAAAGGAAGAATTGAGTTGTTTTAAGTGGTGATGAGTTGAGCCAGACTTAAATATGCAACATTTTCTGTGGACCAATGAATAAGATAAGGAATTAATCATGATTAATCACTGCACATGGTGACTTCTGCAGTCTCTGTGTTTCGGGTGTAAAGATGGTGACCGAAGAAGAAGGAAAATCTAGAGGAGGAAGAGACAGTGTGAGTGGTCCTTGCCTTTCCTCTCTGGGCTTCTCTTCCACCATCTGACTTCACTGATGGGCAGCCTATTCCCAATGCAGACGAGGAAACCACACTTCACAATTTTAGTTGTTGTAAATATTTACATGTTCTTTTTGCACTGTTTTCATTCATTAAACTTAGGCCAATGCCCACACATTTCCTTCTCATCCAGAGAGTACAGATTTGGCATCCATGCTCTTCAGCCAGGAGGTATGAAGAAAGAAACAGTTCACCTCTGCTCTGCAATTATTGAGATTTTTAAGTCTCATACTACTTGACATTGTGATCATGATGCTTAAAATATCAAGAAATACCTGGACATGGCCTATTTGGAAAAATCACCTGACTGACTCTAGTCCAAACCACTAAAATATCAAATTGCCAGAGTTACAGTTTCACTCAGATTCAGCTGACCCTAGAGTGCTGCTGTCTACACTAGACTTAGTTGCTGAAAATTCAATCTTTTCTAATACAGTTTACAACCCAGGAAAACCATTTTAAGATGGGGGAAAGAGAAAATTATCTCTTACCCCAGAGGAATTTACAAGCTAGTGGGGGAGACAGATGAATAAGCCAAAAATTACAACTGGAAAGGCAAATGCAATGGTGATAGGAGCGGGTAAGAAGGACACAAAACTAGGTTTGGGAAATGACTTCTGTTCTGTGCCTGAGAGGAGACAGTGGCATCCATTTAAAGACTCCAAGTGCGCTTAAAGTGGTTGTATAAGTAGAGGCTTTGCATTAACTCCAGAAATATCCTCCACAAAACTCTGAGATATCACATAGCTTCTCCCAATCTTTCCTTCTTTACCTGCAAAATGTAAAAACACTCCCTGCCATCTAAAGCAGGTAGATGCTTGCAAGTGCTTTGGGAGATGTAGAATACTCAAGATAATAAACCAGAGAGGCTGAGTTTAATTCTGCCTCTAGCACTCAACAGTTGTGTGATCCTGGTGAGGTACTTAATCTTTCTACAAATAGAACTAATAATAGTGACAAATTTATTAAGTTGTGAGAATTAAAATAATTATAATACAGCAGGCATTTAAAACACTGCTTGGTACACAGAAGCTGAAATATAGGGGTTTGTCATTTATTTCAAAATGTAAATTATTCATAGAATGACTAACATATGTTTTATTAATATATAATCCTTTCAAGATTGATATTGTGGCACTGTAAGCCTGAGACCCTAGTAAAGATTTAATCAGCTAGTCTGGGAATATTTCGGGGGGAAATAAATTGTTGATCTTTATCACTTTCTATTTTATAATTACCAACTCCATTTGACTCTCCAGGGAGCAGAATAATTAAGATTGTTAAGAGGTGTCAGGGAGCTAAATA